CGGGGGAATGGGAGCCTGGCCCTAGGGGGTCCCAAGCACCCCTGGGACCACCCCCCATGTTGTCCCCACTCACGTCAGCCACGGAGTCCACGCAGGTGACATCGAACGCGGCGCGGCCGCCTTGCAGCACCACGGGCGCAGCGCAGTCCTTGACGAGCTGTGAGCAGGGGGACACTGAGCACGGGGCCGTCCCTCCCCCCGGGAGCCCCTGGCGCCCCCCAGCCCAGCACGGCGCTCACCCCGTCCTCCTTGAACTCGCAGCTGTCCAGCTGGGCGCCCGAGCGCGCCTGGCACCGCGTCTCCATGATGGTGAAGTTGAGGTTGTGCAGGGAGCTGAGCTGGACGTTCTGGGGGCAGGGCACAGCGTGGTGGCAGCCACCCGGCAGCCCCGGCTGCTCCGGGCACAGCTCAGAGCCGGGCGGGGGGAGCAGCTCTGCTTCCCCTCTTGATGTCCCCCGGCTGGCCCCACCACGGCCCCATACCGACCCCATGCCTTCCCCAGGGTTTCCCCATGATGTCCCTTTGATGTCCAAAGGTGTCCTCAGCATTTGTGTCCCCACGCTGTCCCCACGCTGTCCCCACGCTGTCCCTCCCATGTCCTCATGCCGCTCCCAGGAGGTTCCTCTGATGTTCCCCAAAGTGTCCCCACGCCGTCCCCATGATGCCTGCACACCTCCCCACGCCTTCCCCACGACGTCCCCAGTATCTCCCACGGTGTCCTCGTGGTTTCCCCACGCTGTCCCCACATGCACTCACCGGGCCGGGCTCGGGGTCGGCGCTGAGCAGCCGGAAGGCATTCTGCACCTCAGGCCGTTGGTTGTAGGAGTCCACAGCCTGGGCCAGAGCCTGGGGGTAGCCCAGGGGGGCCGGGAGGGCGCAGGCCCCCCCCCAGCAGCGCCAGCACCAGCACCCAGCAGCTCGCCATCCTCGCCCCGTGCCCGCTCATCGCTCCCAATGCCTTTTATTGGCCCCGAAGTTGGGCAACGCGGAAACGCGGGCCCAGGGGGAGCAGCCACAGCGCGGCAGTTATCTGGGGGGGAAAAGCTGTGGTGGGGACGTGGCTGTGCCCATGGGCTGCCCTGTCCCGCTGCAGGCTGCATCCCACATCCCTGGCTGTGCTGCAGGGCATGGGGTGGTGAAGGGTCTGGAGGGCAGGATTGGTGAGGGGCAGCTGAGGGCGCTGGGTTTGTTCAGCTCTGAGCAGTGAGGCTGAAGGGATGCCTCATGGCAGCCAGGGTTTTTGCCATCTCCAAGCTCATCACCACTGCTTTCTCACAAGAAAGAGAATAAGAATGGTGGCTGGAAGCCAGTCATGACCCAACACGGGAAATTTTCTTGAACATTTTATTGAGAGAGGGTTCAGCAAAGGGTCAGGTTCCCACAGAGGTTGCAGCCTGGTCTCCTGTTTCATAGCTGCCACCCGTAGCAGGAATGAACCCTAACAAAGATCACAAATTACAGAATCGTTAAGGCTGACCCCTGAGATCCCCAATTCCAACCCCAGCTCACCGCCCACGTCTCTCAGTGCCACACCTCCATGTTTCTGGAACGCCTTCAGGGACGTTGATCCCACCACCTCCCTGGGCAGCCTGTGCCACTGCATCTCTGCTCATTCCAAATAGAATTTTCCCCCATTACCCAACCTGACCCTTCCCTAGCACAACATGAGGCCATTCCCTCTCATCCTATCACTATTACTGCGAGAGGCTGACCCCCACTGCAGTTCGGTCTCCTTCCAGGGAGCTGCAGGGAGCAGCAAGGCCTCCCCTCAATGGTTGGAAGGGCCCTCACAGCCCATCTGTAGGCACACAGCATGCAGGGATTGCAGGCATCTCGTCCCATAGCCCCGTGCCCACATCCAGCTCGGCGCTGAGCGCTGCAGGGCTGTGACACCCGCACACACTCCTGATGCCGAACCCCAATGTCTTCTCTTTTCCTGTAAAGCTCTTCCCTTTGTCTTGTCACTCCTCGGCTGAGCAAACAGCAACGGGGCGTGCCTAGTACATAAATCTCCTTTTATTTGCCTTCCTCCCAGCGCTGCCAGTGCACCACCCCGGGCTCTGTTTGGTTTCTCCGTTCCCACAGCCGGGCTCGGGGTTGCGGCCTGGCTGACCTGAGCGGACCGAACCCGGCCAGAGCCGCGCGCCCAGACCCGACCCGCCGCACACCACCCGTCATAAAATGGCGGCGCCCGTCAGCCACGAACCGGAAGTGCTTCCTCTTTCGCGCTCGATTCCGTCGGGGGAACCTGGGGAGCTCAGCCAATAGAAAATGGCTGCGCTTTGATGATGTCATCATGCTGCGCCGGAGCGCATGCGCACTTTGTCTCATTGCCGGGCCGGCGTGCGGTGGGGCCGGGCGAGGTCAGCGCGGATGGCTGCGGTTCCGCGGCCCGGGGTGATCGGAAGCGGGGTTCGAGTTCTCGGGGAGCTGCGTGCGGGCCAGGGTCGGGATTTCCTAAGGGCTACGGCCTCTGAGGCCGCTGCGAGTTCGGCGCAGCCTCCGGGCCAGGAGTTCGCCCGGTTCGGCTCACGGTGCGGGGAGGCCCGGGTGTCAGGATGCGCAGGGGGAAGTTTGAGTGGGGCGTTGTGAAGGATCTAGCGTTGTGGAGCGTCGGAACTGACTGCCCCGGGAAGTAGGGGAGTCCCTGTCTCTGGGGATATTTAAAGGACGTGTGGATGTGGTGCTGAGGGACGTCGTTTAGTGTTAGGCTTGGCAGCGCTTAGTTAATGGTTGGACTTGGTGAGCTTGGAGGCATCTCCCAACCGAAGTGATACCCTGGGTCTGCCCACGTGGGTCCCTTCCAGTTTTATTCTGTGGGGGTATTCATAGGGATGCTCTGCGCTTCTGTGACTCGCAGCTTTAAACCTGTTACCTCTCCTCGTTCCTCCTGAACCTTCCCGTTTTTAAAGCCTTTCTTTTCCTCCTCCAGCCTCCCCAAGATGCAGTGCTGAGCCCCTCAGATCCCCGCCATGGCAGCCCGGCTGGTGCAACGCTGCTGCTGGCGGCACCTCATCACTTTTACCTGCGCTCCTGCTGCTGCCCCGGCTGCTCTGCTGCTGCCCAATGGGAAGCTGCCAGCAGCCAGAGCCCTGCCACACACACCTGTTGCCTCTATCCACACCTCCGTCCCCTCTGCCTGGAATGCAGACAGATTCTCTGTCAAAGAGCAGGTGGAAGAAAACAGTAACTCAGAGCACAGAGCGATCCTGAATCTCATTGAGGCAGCCACAAGTCCTCAGGAACTGTTCCAGCTGGGTGAACTTCACTCTCTAAACAGCAACCAGGCTTCGCTGGTGGTTACTCGACTTTCTTGGCTTGCAGTGGAAAAGAACCTGGAAACAGGGGACATTCTGCAAGATGAACGATTTCGGCAGCTTATTGAGATTGTGGATTCTCAGGTGAGTTCCCTTCTTGTGGTGGAGGCAGTTTGGAGAAAGAATGGGTCTGGGAAGGCTGGCCTGGAGCAGCGAGTGCTGCCTTTTCCTTTCCCTTGTGAATTTTCACAGCTGGTACCTTCTTTGCACTTGTTGGCAGAGATGTATCAGCATCAGGTCACACACACAAAAAAGGATGCAGGTGTCTGTGGCTCAGCAGAGAGGGTGGACTTCAGAGCTAGGAGAGCCAAGCTGCTGTGCTGGGAAAGCAAGAAGCTGAGCAGCATGGCCTTGCTCCCAAAAGGGAAGTGGATAAGAACACGTCTAGCTGGGATATAATCAAGCAAAGTCACTGCAAACACAATTGTTTCTCTCCAGAGAGCTGTTCCTGCAGTGTGCAGCTAACTCCATGTAAGAAGTCATTGTGTAGATGCACGGGCACTAGAAGTGTTCAAGGCCAGGTTGGATGGGGCTGTGGGCAGCCTGGTCTGGTATGAAATGGGGAGGTTGGTGGCCCTGCCTGTGGCAGGGGGTTGGAGATTCGTGATCCTTGAGAGCCCTTCCTACCAAAGCCATTCTGTGATTCTGTGACTAAAATTAATCGCCTTGCAACATCCCTGTGTCACCAAGTTGGAGGATTTGAACATTAGGCTGAAGCAGCACACAGGGTCAGACCAGGGAGAGCAGTCTGCGTGGCTGGGACACCAGGAGCTCTACCTGCTTTCTCAGCTGCATCCTGCTTTGGGATTTCCACTTCAGGTGACTTTGGTGGATTACCCTGAGAGCACTCAGGTCATTCTTGCACCCAAGCATTGAGCCATCCCTGAGTTTTAGGATGTTGCAGGGCTGGAGTTGGGGCAGGCAGGGCAGTTAAAGAGTCTGTTTGCTGGAGGCCACCTGGTCCATCCTGCCCTGAGCATCATTGGCTGTGATTCTGCCTCGTTTGTTTCTCTGCTCGCTGAGGTCATATTCCAGCCACACCACAGGGAAATTTAGGTGTGTGCACCTCCAGAGAAGGGTAAAAATCTACTTAGATATTTTTACTTTCCTCCCAGATATCTCAGGTGTGGAATAACACCTTGGTGGGCCTCCTGAAGAGCCTGTACTCGCTGGGGATGGAGAGCAGCAGCAGGGAGGTGCAGTCTGTGGAGCAGGAGGTGCTGTGGCGGTTGCGGCGCCTCACCTTCCGCCAGCTCGCCTCCTTGGCAGAGTTCTTGGCTGTCAAGCAGGGCAAGGAGAGCAAACTGCTCCACGAGGTCATCAAGAAGCTGGAGCTGCGGTGGACAGAACTAGAGGGCACCAGAACCGTGGTGATGCTGATTGCCAAGGTTGGGCACATCTCCTCAGTGCTGATGGACCGGTTAGAGGACAAGGTATGGGCTTGGGCACTGCGTTCCCTTTGGGTGGGACATCTCCTGGGGGCAGTGACAGTGTGAGGGACGTCCTGTGTGGGCACTGCTCCACCAGCACGTTCCTGTCAGCCTGTCTTGCAGAGGATGCAGCTCGCTTCTCATGTGCAAAGGTGCTCAAAAGAAACCTTTTCCTTTTTGGAGCCACACAGATGAGGAGTTCACACGTGGGAGCTCTCAGACCTGCGCTGGTCTGAGGTGCTCAGAGGTGGACTGAGCTGATGTGCTTTGCCTTGCAGCTAGAATTACCTTAACTTTGTGGTAGAATTACGTTAGCTCAGCTGGAGGGCGGTAACTTGCAGAGGCAGCAGAAAGTCACTGCCAAAAGCATTGTCCTCTGGCTCTCTGTGAAAGTCAGGCTGTGAGCAAGGAGTCTGCAGGAAGGTCTGTGCTCCAGCAGGTCCCTCTTTCTGTCACTTCCAGGAGTAGGGAAATGTCTCTTGGGTTGAAACTGCCACAGGGCCATGACTGCAGCTGCGTCAAATTCGGTCCTTGTCCAGCCCCGCGCTGGGGACCGGCCAAACAGCTGCCACAGCAACAAGCCCTGCAGCTCATGGGCCCCACTGTTGTTCTCCCTCAACTCTGGGGATAAATAAATGCTGCAGACATTGCACGTGGCAAAGCAGGGCGCCGTTGTGGGGTTGTCAGCTTATGCAGAGCTGGAACTCCAGGTGGCTGAAGTATGTGCAGCTCTTAGAGGGGGTCCAGAGGAGGGCCACTAAGATGATGAGAGGCTGGAACAGCTCTCCTGTGAGGAAAGGTTGAGGGAACTCGGCTTGTTTAGCTTGGAGAAGGCTCTGGGGAGACCTCATTGTGGCCTTCCAGTGCTTGAAGAGAGCTTATACACAGGAAGGGGAACGGCTGTTTGTGAGGGTGGATGGTGACAGGACAAGGGGGAATGGTTTTAAACTGAGACAGGGGAGGTTTAGGTTGGATATTCGGAGGAAGTTTTTCAGCCAGAGGATGGTGAGGCACTGGCACAGGTTGCCCAAGGAGGCTGTGGATGTCCCATCCCTGCAGGCATTCAAGGCCAGGCTGGATGTGGCTCTGGGCAGCTTGGTCTGCTGGTTGGTGACCCTGCACACAGCAGGGGGTTGGAACCAGATGAGCATTGTGCTCTTTTTCAACCCAGGCCATTCTACATTGGGCAGATGAAAACAGGAGATACAGTGGGCAGCAAGGCAGTGATTCAGCAGCATTTCCTGCATCAGTTGTTGCGTGACAGCATCAGGGTGTATGGAAACCCTGCAGTCCTCGGAGGGGCTCAGCCAGCAGTGTCCTGGAGGGTGGCACGTCCCTTGCTCTGTGCCTGTCTCTCTATGTCTCCATGTTTCTTACCAGGCTCTGGAGCTTGCTGAGCAGTTCAGCCCTGAGGACATAAGGAAAATCACGCTGGCTCTGGCGTACCAGAACCGGCGCAGCGTGCCTCTGCTCCGTGCCATGTCCTACCACCTGATTCAGAAGCACTCAGAGCTCAACCTCAGCGTCCTGATGGACCTGATTTTCGCCTATGGTAAGCAGCTTGGTTGTATCGTGACCCTTTGGGTTGGGCATTACTGTGCTTGCATAAGTCAGAGAGCCCTCTGTGTGGCAGCACTGTGCTTACTGTGGCTCTGTTCCTCGCTGCTCTCACCCCCCCCCCCCGAGCCCTTTAGGGCTTCCTTCCAGCACACAGGGCAGTGGCATTAAAACAATTGGTTTCTTTTCACCCAAGGTGTCCAAGTGGCAACATGATTAACATTTGAGCAGTGGCATGGTGCCTTAGGTGCAAGTGCTGCAGACTGCCAGCATGGTGACAGCCACCTTTATTGCATTCCTGGCCACAGGGTAGACCAAAGCCTTCAGATATGGGTGGTGACAGACCTGGTGCAAATCAGCTCTGTTAGCCTCTGGCCACCACTAACTGATAATGTGTGTTATTATCCTTGGGGCTTTGGTTTTTCTTCTCTTCTTTCTGTGCGTTTCCATCTGCTCCTATCCAGAAATTGGGATGAAGCTGCTCTTCATTTCACTGTCTGGTTTCTGGTGGTGGGAACAGATCTGTCCAACACTGGGGCGGTGTGGTTGTCATGGGTTGGATGTTCTTTAGTGATAAAGAAATCAACCTGCTAGACCTGGCTTTGGAAGGAGCTCATGCTTATTGTGTTGATGTTACCATCTTGCTATTCAGTTGATAAATCTGGACTGAGTTTGAAGGGAAGTAAGGGGTGGATGTTCCACGTCACAGCCTCCAGATCCCTGCTGGATGTCCTTCTGGGACACAGTGAGGCCCAGCAGCCCCGTAATATCCCCAAGGTGGAGAAGTCCAGTAGTTTGGGAGCTGTACTGTCTCTTGCAGGCTCAGGCAGGGCTGTAGCAGCCCGGTGTTGGGAATGTTGGATTGAGAGCTGGTGGGAGCAGCAGGACCTGGCTGGATGAGAAGAGGCAGGGCCATGTGTCACAGCTCCCATACCGGCTCCGTGTCAGTGGCTGCCACTTTCTTTTGCTCCTTTAAGGAAAACTGAATTTCCACCAGCCCCAGGTCTTCCAGAAGATAGCCACTGACCTGCAGCCCCACGTTTCTGCAATGACACCCGTCGAGGTGACGCGCTGCATCCGCTCCTTCGCCCTCCTCAAGTGGCTCAGCCTGCCTCTGTTTGAGGCCATCTCTCAGGTGAGGAGGCAGAGGGCCTGGGTAGCACCTGCTGATGTATGACTGGGACACCCAGAACAATTCTTCTCTTACTAGAGATGCTCCACTGCAGTCAGCAGTCAGAATCCACACAGCTCTGGGGTCAGCTTCAGCTCTTTCTGAGCCTCTGCTCCAGAGTGCTGCGTTCCCCAGGCAGCTCCCAGTCTCTGCCTCAGTTCTGATGCCTGCACCTGGGCCTGTACCAGGGAATATTACAGAGCTCTGCTTCTACTCACAGCTTTCCCTTGCACCAGGATAAAATCCTAGGGAGGCACTGAAAGATCCTTTCCTTCTTGTTCCCGTCTTGTCATGGGTCTGGGCATCTCCTTGGATGATGTTTGCAATCTTTTTCTGTCAGTACTCATTTCTCAACCTCTGGTTTTGCTCTCTCTTGTCTTCCAGTATACCCTGGACAATGCCAAGCAGCTGTCCATTGCCCACCTGTGCAGCATCATCCTGTCTTTTGCCCGCCTTAACTTCCAGCCCAGCGGAAGCGAGGACTTCTTTAACATGGTAACCTGCCTCCTTTTCCCCTCTGTGTCAACCTTCCTCCTCTTTGGAGTCAGTGGGAAGGCTGCACGTATCCTGCCATAACCTGGAGCACGAGTGGGTGCAGGAAATGGAAATGGGGAGCCCAGAGCTCGGGCCAGGCTGAAAAACCCATACTGATGCCCTGTGGCTGTGTGCTGGCTGATAACCAAACTGGTTTGCCCCTGGCTAGCACCAAATCCCTGTAGGCTAGCTCTTCCAGCAGACATAATCAGCACGTGGTTTTTCAGGTGCCCTCCTGAACTCTGATTGCTGCAATTAGCTCCATAACGAAGCCATAAGATCACTCATTCTCAGCAGATCAGAGGTCTCCCAGCCCATCCAAGCCCTGGGTGTGGCGGTGCTGGTGGGAAGGATGGAGGCTGCCATCCGTAGAGCTGTTCACTGCTGCCCTGCCTGGGGGCTTTGCAGGGAGATTTCTGCAGCCCAGGGTGAAGAGATGAGACCAAGTGGAGGGAGACCCTCGTGCCACAGAGATAGGGTTAGCATCCCTGGTTGGCAGTGGGATCTGGACTCTTTGCCAACGCTAATCACAGTCAGCATGAAGGGAGGTTTTGTAGCAAGTGCAAAACTTGATTTTTGAAGCATTGCAAAAAAAAAACAACAACAAACACACACAAAGAAAAACAACACCAGCACCTGGAACTGTGAACCTGCAGCAAGGCTGCTGTAGAGCAATCCTGAATTCTATCAGCAAATAGCCCAGTAGAAGCACTGCAGAAGCAGGGCCATCTGCAGAGATGTGCTGAGCTGTGGCTTTGGCTCTGGCAGGCCCATGAGGAGCTGCAGGGCCAGCTGGACAGCCTGGAGCCCCAGCTGCTGATCGACCTGGTCTGGTCACTCTGTGTGCTGCAGCAAGCCAAGCCTCCCTACCTGCAGCGTGTGCTGGCACCCGACTTCCACGCTGTGATCCAAGGTAAGGTGGGACATGGAGCCAGAGCTCAGGGAGTGGGTACTGGGTCTAGTGCATCTACTTTTGGGCCAGCACAGGCTGTGAGCTCAGCTGTTGAGCTTGGAGGGGTTGGTCTACCCTGCAGTGTGCCTGTGGGGTTGAACCCAGCAGGCTGCCACGTTGCCTTCAGCTTTCTTATGCCTCAAGGCTCAGCTTTGTTCTTGGCTCCAGCGCTGCCTGCACATTTTCCCCAAGCACTTAGACATGGGGGAGGGCTTGGTGTTTCTTAGCCACTCATGGGGGAGGTGCAGCCCAGTCAAATTCAGTCTCTGCCTCCTCCATGGCGAGCACTGGCCATCCGGCTGCCACAGCAACATCTGTAGTCCATGGGCCCCACGTCCCCTCCCATGGGACCTTGGGGATAAAATCGTGCCACAGACACTGGGGGCTGTGCCCTCCAACAGGGGCTCAGCCGGGTCTCGCCCTGTGCTCGGGCAGTGCTGCCCCTTCTGCACGTATGTGGCGATCTGCATCTTGATGCCAGCACTTAGAGATCCATCCTGGTGGATTCTCAGGTCCTGTCTGAGCAGCGGCAGTGGGATTGGGACCAGAAATCCTGATTGGATGAGCTGAGCAAGCCGCAGGATCAGCTCTTTGTTTTCCTCCTCCTGCCAGGCGATCTGTCCCCCAGGGCTCAGAACTTGCGGATGAAGCTCATCCAAATCAATGCTGCTGCCAAGCTGGAGAGCCCTGAGTACCAGGGGCCGTTCCTGCCGGCTGGGATGCTGAGTGCTGCAGAGCCAGCAGCAGAGAAGGTCACCCTGCTGCAGAGCAGCTTGCGGGAGGCCCTGGCAGGCGTGCTGGGCAGCCAGGACACCGGGCGCTGGGACGTGCGCACCATCTACGGCTGGCAGATCGGTGAGCACAGCCTCTCCTTGGAGCAGCGGGGCTCATTGGGGTCTGCATGCTGCAGGGGGATCAACGTAAAGGCTTTGTGCCTGAGGTTATATCTCGTTCTTCAGCCTCACATCCCTCTGCCTCGCCAATGCAGTCCCGTCAGATTCAGTCCCTGCCCCCTCTGTGGTTGGGGCCGGCCATCCGGCTGTCACAGCAGAGCTGTAGTCTGTGCCCCACGTCCCTTCCTGTGGGACTCTGGGGACAAAATGGTGCCACAGACAGGCTTTGTGCTGGAGGTGGTTGGGGCCCTGCCTGATGGATGCCGTGCCCCGTGTCAGCCCCACGGTGAGGGCATCCCCAGCCTCCATGGAACAGCATCCTCAGGACTCCTTCCTTTTCCTCCTCTCTGCAGATGCTGAAATGGTGCTGAACAGCGAGAATAAACCTCTCCCCTTGAAGAACTTTGCAGCTCCACATCTGCCCCACTCAGAAGGGACAAAGCCGCTGCCACCGGGTGCCAGGAGGTGGGTTTGGGCTCAGCTGCACCAGGCACGGTGGGAGGGACAAGGCTTTGCTGTCCCCGTGGCTGGCTGCAGGCAGCAGGGGACAGTGCCTTGGGGATGCCAGCGTGCCAAGGTCACTGTGCCCAGCTGCGTCCACTGGTCTGGACAGAAAAGGGGGTAGGACCGTGCCAAGCTGCCATGGGTCACGTTGCAAGGGACAGGGCAGGATGCTGGCTGTGGCAGCAGCCTCCCCTGTCTGGCACGTCCTCCACAGAGCGCCTGTGCCAACTGTCTGCCACCGTTCCTGGCTGCCCACAGAGCCCAGGGGCCAAGCTGACTCCTTCCTGGCTGGGCAAGGCAATGTCTGCCATCCAGCGTGGGCTGCGAATCAACTCAGTTTGAGCCATCCGTGCTCGAAGCTGCTCTGAGGCTGAGGTTGCCCAGCACCAGTCTCACTGCTCTCTTCCACCCCTCTTGCAGGGTCGCCTTCCTCAGGTGGGAATTCCCAAATTTCAGCAACAGGAGCAAGGAGCTGCTGGGCCGTTACGCCATGGCTCGGCGCCACATCCAGGCAGCCGGCTTCCTTGTTGTGGATGTGAGTATCCAGCCCCCAGCACCCGATGCTGATCACGGCCCCGTGCTGGGATTAGCCATCGTGATCCCCTCCGGGCCACCTGTCAGGCAGCCCCAGGGCAGAGAGGGGATCAGTAATGGAGGAGGACAGCAGACAAGGTCTTAGCACGCTGATCCCTGCGCCGCAGTGCTGCGCTCCATTGGGGCCATGCATTATTCAGCCCCCGGAGGTAATTATAGCTGTGCTGGCAGAGCTGTGCAGCCGGCAGGGATGGCTCCAGTGGGGCAGGAGGGCGGCGTGCCACGTGTCCCCCAGCACTGTCACCCCACATCAAGCTCCATTCCCTGCAAGCAGCCCAAATTTGCATCCCCTCGCACGGAGCTGCCGCTCTTTGATGCTGATACAAAGCGAAGCCCCTGCAGCCCGTGTGCACTCACTGGCTGGAGAGATTTCAGGTGGGGAGACAGGAGGAGGAGGAGGGAACTGCTTCCTTCAGCTCGAGCCTTGTGCTAAATATAGTGGTGGTGGGCGGTGGGATCCCCCCTGTCTGCTCCCTCCGGCGGCTTGGAGCCATCAGAACAAGCGAGCGCTGTGCAAACAGCGTTCATTCCAGTGCTGTTCCCTCCTCCTGGTTGGCTGCAGCTCGTCTCTGAAGAAGTGATGCATCTTCACCAGGCAGGGCTTGCTGTGCTGCTGGGCAGGGAGGCCGGGATGCGCAAATGGGAGCAAGCAGACCATGAAGCCCTGCACGTACTCTGCAGCTGGGATGAAAAATTCAGCGGGTTTCAGAGCTCTGAGATCACAACTGAAAGGATCCAGGCTCTGTGCTGGGCTGGCTGCAAGCAGTCCCCATAGCAGTGCTTTGTGCCATCCTAATTTGAGGAAACACCCCCTAGCAATGCTTTGTGCTTTGAGGAAACATCCCAATGCCACCGAGGCTGTGATAAGGGAACGGTGCCCTCCTTGCAGCCTCGTCAAATTCGGTGCCACCTCTGCCATGATGCGCGCCGGCCCAAGGGCTGCCACAGCATCACCTGTGCTTCATGGGCCCCACATCCCTGCTGTGGGATGGCGGGGATAAAAACGTGCCACGTACAAGGCTGGGAACTGAGCACGTCCCCGTGGTGCTGTCCCCACAGTGATGTCCCCGTGGTGATGTCCCCATTGCTCACTGCCTCTCCTCTCCTCCCCAGGTCCCCCACTATGAGTTCCTGGAGCTGAAGCTGGAGCGGCAGCGGGCGGCGTACCTCCGTGACAAACTCCACAAGGTGGTGGCCAAGGAGCTGGCCAGTTAGCTGTGTTTCAATAAAGCCACCCTCTGCTGTACCGTGTCCCCTTTGTGTCCCCAACCTGTGGGAGTGGGGTGGAAGAAGGGCTGTGCTGGTGGGCGGTGGGGTTTTATTGTTCCTAATGGGGTTTTTGTTGGCGGTGGTCCTGGGGTGGGCGGACGAGGGTGGCACAGATGCCTCCTAATGATGGTTTTTAGGTCTGGGGATGGGGGACAGCCTCCATCCAAGCTCTGAAGCTGGTGGCCTGAGCCGGGCAAGAGGGACACAGGAAAGCCCTCCTGCTGTGACGCAGGGAGCTGGCTGCCAGGAAAGGCTTTGAGGGCGGATTAAGCGGCCATTAAGCAAACGGATTTGGGCTGTGGGGGCATCGCTTACCCCCACTGCATCTCTTACTGCCCCTCTGGCCGGTGCCC